TTATAAAAATAAAATAATAATAATAATTCTTAATATTATATTAATAACTAATAAAGACACTACAGCGCAAAAATATAATAATAATAAATAATGATAACAACAACAAATCATTTTTAGATATTTATTTTTGAATTCCAGTCATACTAATGTAGGCTGTAGTTAATTTGTTGATCTGACTAATTGCTTCTGAAAATTACTTTGTAAACAATGTTGTAAAAGGTTTTATAAAATAAAATGAATAATAATACAAATTCTAAAAAAATAATGACTAAAAAACTAAATAAATGATATAATAATAATGATAATGTTGTGGCATCTTTAGGTGGGGTCAAATTAACATTTCACAGCAGTTAGTTCAGCACATCTTCAGCTAGCTTTATGACTACAGTCTGATTCCAGGTAGCTCATGCTCTGTCACAGTCTGTCTGTGACCTGCTCCACAGCAAGTGTGTGTGTGTGTGTGTGTGTGTGTGGGAAGGAGGGTTGGGGCAGGGGGTACGTTCTGTTGGGCTGCTCTATTGGCAGCAGCCAGAGGCAGTGAGGAAGGGAAGCATATATTTATCCCTCCCTACCACGGGCATGGAGCAGCAGGGAACAACAGGTTCCAGAACACAGCCATGCTGGGTTTCTGCTGACCCCCGGCACACACACATATGTGCACGCGGAGGGATTTGCGCACATGCACACCCACGCACGCATACGGTCCTTGCACTAAAATACACAATGAATTAGCCACCGCATACACACACAGTACACAAACATCCTTACTCACATAGACATAACCTAGACACCTTCTTAGGGGTTATGAAACACATGCTCACATGCTGAGCAGACAGACGGCAGCTTGGGTCAGGACCATATTTGGCCTTTTCCTCTATCGGTCACATGATCGGAGGAGGTGTTGTAACAGTACAGTTTCATCTCATGACATTTATTACCTTAATCAACAAATTTAACTGGGAAGATAAAGTTGATAATTTCATGAAATAAGTCTTCTTTTTATCCATTCAATAATATCTTAATTTCTCCCTTTTTTAAGATGTATGTGCATCTTTCAACCAATGACAAATGATCAAAACCTCTGTTATAAAGACCCTGATATTTGAAAGCTGACAGAAAATGACAAAACATTCTTACAGGGCTTTTCAGCAAAAAGTGTATTTCAGCTACCTGCAAAAGTGACTGTCAACACAACACACAACAGAGTTACTATTTTGTCTGAACTTGTAATGTATCTGCAATAAACAATCATAAACAATAAGAAAGAAACACTTATGTTTTACTGCAGGACATACATTATGAGGAGCCAGCAGACAAATATCTTTCAGAGCACAGCTGTTAATGGCATGTTTAAGGCCATATTTGATTTTTATGGTGCAAAGAACATGCTGCAGAGTAAAAAGGGACATCATGACCCGCAGCACATGGTGAAAGCCCAATGCTTTTCACAGATCAATGTGAAAATACAGTAGCCTAACTGACTTCCCTGTAGGCCACATGCATGCTGATAATCAATAAATGGCTCTTTGAGGTACAAATAAATGCATTTTAATGCAACCCCCACCCCTCACTGACTGCCACATACAAAGTTATTGTAAAGTATTCATTCAGAAAAGGTCAACCCTTCATCGACATTAATAATTCAACTGAGCTGTTTGTCTTGCAAATTTTACTATTATAACTACAGTTGTGCTTTAATGGCTGGAGCTGACAAGGCTTTGGAATATATAATAACATTATCTAGGGACATTATCTGTGGAAAAAAAAGACAATTATTGCTACTACAATAAAATAATATGAGATAGCCTCAAATGGATTTCAGATTATTATTTTTTTTTTATCTTATGCAGTGTTATCTGTTGACAGTCGTGGCTAATACCAATTTACTATATTCTTAATGTTCTTTAATCTTATTAATGTTGAATGTTTTTCATTTATTATATTTTTTTCTATTTTTATCACCATTACAGGAATCTTTTTTTGTAGCTGTATTTTTGTAGTGGTAACAAATAATTAAAAATAAAATACTTTGAAATTGGTGTTTCGAAAGAAAACATTACGAAACTAAAGAAATAAAGTGTGGGAATGTAATCCACCATGATATTAGGAGAAACAAGATCTCCCCCCATTGCCCCCACTCTGTGTTCAACCCTACCTCTCATCTTCTTGCCATTGTTTTCTTTAGAAACTGACTGTCCACAGAGCCATCATTGTTATTTTAATCAAAAATACAAAGGCATCTTAGAAGGCTTTTTTTTCTTTTCTATGGGGTAATTTGACACCTCTTAATCCAAAACTTCCTCTGGCTGCCCCGTTGGGAGGAGCGGACACAGAGGCTCGGGTCCATTGTGCATTCTGGTCATTAACACCTGGGCTGCGGGTTCCATGTAGACCGACTACTGACACAGAACATTGAGCACCGAGGTGAGAGAAGTCACACATATTCCCCCACTGTGGGAATGCTGGTGGATGTTAACACATGCACTTATATATAAACACATTTGAAAGGAATTTGAACATTTTAAACTGGACTTAACCAAGTGCTCTGCTCTCTGTGTCCAGGAGTGAAGTATAACAGGTGGACAGAAACATGCCACATGAAAATGTTCATGGAGGATAAATCATGCAACTCCATGGCAACCATCATTCATGTACCATCTAGTGAGCACATTCTCAAAACCCAAAAAACACTGAGTACAGCCCTCATTAGAAAGCCATAGATTGGCAGATGCACTGGCTAGCTATTCTAAATCTGCAAAACAAAGAAAAGCAGATGAAGCATTTGGTTTGGCAGTGTTTATATATTATGTTTCTGGGTGACTCACTCTGGGATTAAACACTGAATGATTTAAATAGGCTGAGGATATAATTCCATTATTCTTATTTTGGGCTCTCTGTCCGTCAACTGCAACAGAGCCACATTTGAATAAAGTTTGCAATGAAGGAGACTAGAAACCCACCATTGTGGAGGAACCACGGGAAATTTCGCATTACATTGCACCATTTTTAATGTGTTGTGGAAATCTAGGTGTATTAATTATGAACAACGGAAACATTAACTAGTTAATTCAGCCAGGCAGGTCCCATAATTCAGATCGCGTATGAGTCATTAGGGACTTATTTTAAAAAAGTCATTAAAAAGCAGTGCTGCCATGACAGGTTCTAACTCAAATACAGTAAACTGAGTATAGTGGGTGTCATCCATCTTTACGTAAACCCCAGCATCCAGAGTTTTACAGCAAAGCTCTGAATACAGGAACCATTCTCCCAGAAAACAGTTGTGCTGTTTAATATTTTTGTGGAAAAATTTAAATATATTTATTTTTAAGTGTAAAAAGAATAGCATTTATTTGAAATCGAAATCTTTTGTAATATTATAAATGTCTTTACTGTCATTTTTGATCCAATTCAATATACATATAATCCTTCACTATTACTTAATATTAAATATCATCCCTATTGGAACATTGTTTGTCCAATCACATCAGATTATGCAACCAATAACAGTTGCATAAATCTCAATATTTGTGCTGCATTATTGAGTTGCTTTGGTGAGAAAATGAATGGCAATCTAAAATGCCTGGAGTCTTACCAAACTAGACCACTGACCCTAAACAAGAAGCCTCATTCTTTTCTCTCTTGGCCAAGAGCTACACAAGCTTTTTACAACATTTCTCAATAGAGAACAGTACAACGGACTTGAAAGAGTTCCACATCAAAGGGAGCTGGGGATGGCTACTGTAAAGTGCACCAGAAGCTCTAGGGGACATTTTCTTAAGATAAAACACGTTTTATGGAGCTGTTAGAGCCGACCCAAAGTGCTGTACTACAGTCAGTTTTAGCAGTCATCCTTTTATTGCTGGAAGGCTTATTGTACACTACAAATATCTCAGAGCAATGATGATTTCACTAACTGTCCTTTCTCATGCTGAATTGCCTCACTAAAGTCATCATGACCCATTGTACCTGCTCATCTCAACCATTTCTCTCTCCTCCTTACTTAAATTGACACAATTTAGTGGAGATAAAAGTAGAGGGTTCAAATTAGATCTGTACAGTTTTTCTACCCTAACAACACATTCTCATCCCAAAAAGTCATATAACTGACGTTTTGGGACGTCTTTTGACCATACGTCAATATTCGCCTTTTTAGGGCCGTCATACAACTGACGCTTTACCTTTAACGTCAGTTAGGTGACGGGTTAGGTTTAGGGTTAGGTTTAGGTCTGGGGTAGAGTTAGGATCCCATAACCTCATCTACCGACGTTTAAGGGGGCCCTAAAAAGGCGAATATTGACGTATGGTCAAAAGACGTCCCAAAACGTCAGTTATGTGACTTTTTGGGGTGAGACTGCGCTGACCCTAACACTATAAATGGATACTCTAAAGCACATTACCGGTTTACACCGCTGATGCAGATGCGTTGCATAACATTTAATTAAGAAACTACATTCAAACGGACACTACTTGAGTTAGCAAAGCAATCGGAACAGTCAAGCAGCCGACATTGTGCTAGATCTGCACGACACAAGCAGATTGAAGAGGCGAATAACACCAAATGGGTGATTCATCAGGTATTTTTAATGCTAAAAAGGAAGTCTCTTTTTGAGGGTCAAATAATAAAACTTCCATTTGAAAATTGAAAATAGTTTGATAGAGAAAAGTGTAAATAGATGGGTTTAGACCAAAGTCAAAGATGTTAAAATACAAAAAGAGTGGAAGTGAACCATAACGTATATAGAGAATAAACTCATTGGTCCAATGATTTTTCAGAGTGGGCGGAGCTATGCTGCATGACTCAGCAGAATGTCTGTTGTTCATTGTCTGTCATGGCTGATTTGGACAAAAACTCATTAAAGGTTTTAGTTCCCTCTCAGATGTAACCTCGCACTTATTTTTTCTCCTTTCTTGTCACTTGCGTCATTCATCTGCAGTTTTTATTGAATTTCTCATTAGCATTTTCTCCACATGCTCATATACAAACATCCATGTTCTCTTACCTGCTGTTAAACTTCTCTGGATGTTTTTCTCTCATTAAGTGGAAGCGATGCGCTATGGATGCGTCCTGAAAGGGGACACAGAAAACAGGAATCACAGGTTGACTGCCTCTTTTTGCTAAACACATAAAACTGTTTTAAGTCTCAGGCTAATGAGCTACTGACAGTGCTGTCGGATGGCCGATGGAGCGCCCATCCTAAATCAAGTGTTCAAAATCAGGACTGAGAGGAAACAGCCGCCCTAGGCCATACAGCATAGCCATAAAGCTGTTCAGACATGACCCAGATGATGTGGCACAACCATCCCTGCTAACACTGATCAATATTTAACCCTCTATACTATGAAATGGCAACTTCATAAAAATTAAATCAGAAAAAAAAAACCCTCCAACTAATTGCTAGAATTAAAAGGACATCCTCTAAAAATAAACAACACCATACACAAGAAATAACAATAATATACATTTGATTTGATTAAGATATTGTTTGTAAGATCACCCTCACAGGGAATACACATGCTGAAATGCTCCTTAAATTTCTGTATATATATATATATATATATATATATATATATATATATACCATTTTATTACCTTGCACTCCAGTGGAATTGCACTTGAATCAAATGGCCTCAATTATATTACTGCAGTGCTTTGTTTATCTCAAATTGTTGATTATAATTATCATATTAAGAATAATTGTGAAGGCTAATGATTCAAGTGAATATACACCACTGATTGGAATCTGTGAGATTGTTTTATGTATTTCTGATGGCAAAGCAGAATTTTTATGAGCATCATTACTCGCCATTTTATGAGTCTTCATTGTCAAATGATCCTTCAGAAATCATTCTAAAATGCTGATTTGTGTCTTATTATTTTGATCCTTTGCTTCTAATTATTTTGAATGTCATTTTTTTTTATGTCAAAATAGCCATCATTAGAACATGATGGCCCGGTTTCACATACATGACTTAGATTAAGCCAGTATTAGGCAATAGTTCAATTAGGGCATTTATAATAGCTTTTATTTTATAAGTAGCATTTATAAACGTTATAAGGTAGCTTTTATAAACGTGCCTTAGAAAAAGACAAAACAATGACAATGACATATTTTAAGATATGTCAGGGCAAGTTGCTTTCAGTTAAAACAGCTCAAACATGTATTTTAGTCTGGGACTAGCTTATGCCTTGTTTGTGAAACCAGGGGAATGTAATTGAGTGTTAAAGTGAAACCTAATGGCTCATTGAGTTTATAAACTGATGATTTCAAATTGGTGCTAGAGAGGTGATTTTCTCTCTGGTGCTATTTTAGCCATGCCTAGCTTCTCGGGTATTAACAGGCCCCTGTTTCACATCATGAGCTCATGGGGGAGGGATCTGCTTGTCATTTCTGTTGCTGTGGCCTGAGGGAAAGATGATTGTGCAGATAGGCCTGCTGGACAAAGTACACAGTTCTGGAAATGGGGCCACAGCTCTACAGTGCCTAATGAAAAAAATAAATAAATACAGCGAAGCTGGATGCATAAGTGATGGTATCAGCAGGAAAGAGACTTTCCAGGAATGCCAGAAGATGATAGGGGGAGGGGAAGGATTAAAAGAATTGGACACTTAAGTCCAGAAAATGAACAATTGTGCTAAGACAAGTAACAACCAATCTTTTACACCGGTAAAGTGCACTTCATTATTCACAATTGTTGATTTTCTAGACATATTCCTGGAGGAATATTTGAGGGTTATTTAACATCTTTAAATAAGTAGGAGTAGTCATTAATAAATCATCTTATCTTGAAAGTAGCATAGGGCCAACATGTCATTTTAAATCAATGATCTTATTTATTTGATTAATTACAATAATAAATATTTTAAATATCAGGGTATGAACTAATAAGGATAATTTAATTATTGTTTTCAGGCACTGCATGTGACCCACATATTATGTACACTTTTATGAAATTGCTGTGGTTTTAAACGAATCTGCCAAGAAAATAAATACTATAATAATACAAAAGTGTCATCATCAACTAATATATATATATATATTTAAAAAACATTGCCTTAGCAAACACTAATTAATTAAAAACATACAAATATATGCCATACAAAATATTCTAAATAATTTTATTAACAAACAATGACCCCATCAGCTACTTAAATACCATCATCCTGTCAACTTGAAGGATGTGAAGGTTCTGCCTGTGAGGACCTAATGGTAGCTGAGAGGCATAAGGGATCAAACAGCGAGTTAAAATGTTGTTTGCTCTTGCAGCACCAAACCAGAGCGGAATCCACCGTCATTGAATCAGCCTTGATTAAAATCAAAGCAACAGTGTGCAAACAGAAGAGCTAATTGATGAATCAGGTCTGCAACCGTAACTGATTATTTCTATATTTACACACACACATGTAAAAGACGGGAGCTCAAAGCCACCACATCCTTCACTAGGCCCGAGCCTGAACACATTCACACACACACACACGTAACACCTGTCTCGGAGTTTCGCTGTGTAATATAACGATGGATCTCGGCACACTGCAGTGCTCACCGTGTCACAAACTCAGACAGGGAGGAAGTGTGCAAGGGTGAGATTCTCAGGGTTTGATAGCTGCTGGCACGCCGATCAAGCCGCGAGCAGACGATGCTACGTTAGCACCTGTGCTGGCTTCCTGCCCGTGCTTGCAGGTGCTGCGGCACTCACATGGGAGAGGGGAGAGGGTACAGGAAGGGGAGGAAGGGGGGGTAGGGGAGGCTGCATGGAGGGGCGGTGGACTGGTATCCCGCACATATCCAAACCACTGCTATGATGCATTGCGTTCTACAGAAGGGACTCCTGCTGTTCACGGTGCACACATGTTGTCACTGAAGTCAGTCAAAATATCAAAGAATAGACTATGTCTATGTGACATTTTTCGATGCTCACAAAGTCCAGGTGTTCCACAAACTGGCATGTGTGAAATTAGAAGAGAACAGAACGCACTGTACATCAATCACTGCAGTGAATGCCAAGACAATAAACGGGCACTGCACGACACCTCGCTTTAAAGACCAACGTAACTAATGAAAAACAGGAATTTGTCCTCAAAAAGCACTGCTCTCGTCCAATGACGTTTGTTCTAGCTATGCATTTTAACCAACTCATTAATTCCTGTTCATGTCCTTATGATAGCACACAAGAGTCACGAGGCTCTTAAAAATGTAGGCCATGTTTTGTTTTGAGATCAGAGTTACCTCCTTACTCCAAAAATGGGTTTCTTCAAGCTTCAATAGTTCAGACCTACATGGATCTAATAAAAGGCATTGGGAATCCCAAGGTTTGGGAATGCACAGATATAAATGGAAGCTTTTGGAACTATTTGTCCCAGGAACTTTTTTTGCTCCAGACCGCTTACTTACTGCGTTTACACCGCGGACCGAAGTACCGGTCCGGGGCGGGAAGATTGATGTTGAACTGCGTGCAACTGCTCCTCCCAGTCTGTTCGTTTGTTTTGAGTTTTGTATGGAGGATATTCAAGCAGTGCTGCTTTTGTGTGCGATTTGTTTACTAACGAGGTAATTAACAAAAAGGCAGAAAAGAGACGAGCATCCAAAGCGTATTCAGAAAGCTCGTAATGCTAGATTTAAAAGTAGACGTTTGTTATCAGCGGACATTGACCACGAGATGGATGGGACGAACGCGCGCTGCCGGGAAGAAAGAACAAGTGGTAAGAAGCAATCAGCATGTTCAGCGCACAAGTCCCACCCCGAAAGTTCGCAAACTCTGAAAAAGTACTACCTCGCCAGCAGGGACCTTCTGGGGGGGAACTTCATTTACCCGGAACTTCATTTAGACCCTGGTTCCTGCGGTGTAAACACACCGAGTACCACCCCAAAGTTCCTAGTTCCTGGGGAAAGTTCCTGCGGTGGAAACGTGGCTTTTGATAAGCTTAACAGTATCCCAGTTATATGGTATTTTTTCAAAAGTTTTAGATGCCCACCCCTCTGAGGTGTTATGCTATGATTGGGAGGACACATGTCCTCCACTAAGACATACCCAGTCCCGATGGAATGAAACTGCGGGCTTAACTGTTCTTGGCATTCCCCCTCCACTGTCTGAACAAGGTAAAGATTGTATATCACCTCAGTGTTTGTATCATATACAGTTAGACGACTTCTACTTATTTGTGGACAAAGTTCAATAATGAATTCAGTCCAAAAAAAGATATTGTCCTCCAGGGAGAGCAACTATCGATGGGGTGAAGAGGTGAAGGGTATTAAGCGAGGTGATATTCAGGTCACAGTGATTGGTGCGTCCGCACTGGGTTAATGTAGCACTATACTGAGTCAGTGCCCATCTGTGCTCCTGTCAGCACGGTGGGAGCAGGTGCATATGGGACTTATCGTGAGACTGGAGGTGCATTCGTGTGAAAGTCCACATAAGGGCGTGAGTGAACTATGTGAATACTGTCTGAAAGCTCTGAATGTGTGCATGTGTGAGGTGAATGGAGAGGTGGGCGCTGTTTTCCTTCTAACTATAAGACTGGCCAGGTGTCACTCAGCACGGCCATTCATTATGGTGGTAACCTGGTCTGATTCTGGCACCCAAACACTTCCTGTCACTGATACTTCCCCTGACCTTCAGTCCATGCCAGTACTATAGACACAAATACACACACATGCACATGCATACACACACAGACTGACAGGCTCTAAAATAAACACTCTTATCACATAGATAAGGTTGAACGATTGAATATCTCTTAAAAGGTTGTTTGTTTAGCTACCTATTAAACCAGCGTAAGCTCTTTACAGCCAAATCACAGATATATTACACTAGGACAGACTGGACCCTCTTCACATTTCTTAGAAGCAGTAGTCGCCACATTTAGGTAAACTTCTAAAAAAAAAAAGTGAAAACTTCGAAAAAAACATACAAAAAACAAACAAAAAACACTGATATTGATTAACATTGGGCAGAAGAGAGAAACAAACTTCAAATCTGCCATCACTCCCTTAGCCACCATATTATGCTGCCTTCACGTGTTATTATCATAATTCCAATCGGAATTATCATACATTCCTAAGTTGGGCTGGCCATTTACTTTAAACGTTGCGGAGTGGAGGACAATTGCTAACATGCTTTATTACTTTTTTCCACAACAGCTACATCGCTCTGTCTTGTTGTTAAACTGGTGCGTATTTACTCACATGAATAATAATTTGAAGCATTTTTTATGTTTTATAAACTAAGCATTATAACCCGTACTTCTGTCCAAGTGCAGAACTGACTGAAGTCATTAGAGACGAAGGTGTGCATGATACCACAAAAGTGAAATGATGGCAGCGGGACAGTTTTCCAAGCACCCCAACCATGGGGAGGGGGACAGGCTCACACAGATAAGTTGTTGATGTCAAGAGAGGCGATTCGATTTCAACTCTCAGGCCTGGAGATACATGGAGAGACGTCCTTAATGGCTGCTGACATGGTGTGTTTGCTGTCCTTAATTCCTCCTGAGGATTCTTTCCAGGGTGAATTGGATCACACAGCAGGATTGCAATGCCATTCTAAGGTGTCTCAGAAATCAGATTCACACGGATGTACAGCACTACCCTCCTCTATCAGTTTGTGCTAGTTGGGGCGAAGGTTCATGGAAAGAAGACTATCATACCTGAAAGCATTTATATTCATCTCAATAGTAGTTGCTAAACTAGTGCAGGGTCCTTCTGAAGTATTTTTGTTCAAAGAAAGTTTTTGGGCGAATGACCTGAGCTGCAATTGCATGTGACCATTCAATGGAATTGGCTAATGACACAAGTACACACACAACCCCAAACCTTTCCCTGATGACTATCCTAAGCCCTTTTGCACAATAGACTAATAACATTTATGAAATTCTTAAAAACAAAACACATTTGAGCAACTTTTATTGTTTGATAATTCGACAAATCCCAAATGTGATTTCCTTCTCGCACTTTCCGCACACATATCAGTATCTTCCCTTTGACATCCGGACTCAGCAATTAAAATCCTGTCCTGTGCCACACTAAGTTTCAAGTAGATAGGTCCCTCAAAGTTGACCCTTAAAAAAAACAAACAAAGCAAACACGATGGTAATCCAAACGACCCAAGTGGATGAATCAATGTTTTCTGATACAAACCACATGTTCGTGTGAGAAAAGTACTCCCTAGTGAAAAATAAAAAGAACAATATGTATTTGAAATACATTTATTTTATACTTTGTAAATGCATTTAAATATGTTTGTAATTTATATAAATACCCTATAATTATACTTCTGGTATCCTAAATTGATATACTAATTGATATACAGAATACAACTAATTTTGTACTTAATGCACTTTAGTTATCCGGAAATAGTGCTGAAGTTCAACTAAAGATATACTTAAATATATTTGACTGAGCTAAAGTGGAACTATTGCATGCTTACTTTGGGTACACTTTAAATATTTTGCATTTAAAGACTGATATTATACAGATATCATACTATCCTTACTATAGTGATATTAAAACACATTTTAGGCTTAATATTAAGAAATGTGCATTGTGCAATAAAAATGATAGATTTTTCATTTATGGGTGAACTTTCCTTTTAACATTTTTTTTCCCCCCACATTATTATTATTATTAGCCTATTATTAGGCTTTTAGTTTAGCTAAAAAGAAAATGAGCTCTGTCACAAATGATGAAATACATAATCATGGTGATAACGGCCTGAAAACCACAAACACCATGGATGGACACCCAAGTGTCTACAGTCGACACAACCTTCATGGATAGTGACTGGAAAACATTGAAGGCTGAAGCAGCCTTACTAATGATTACATCAGGGCATGAGTCACTGCACTGCTTTACTCAGGTGTCAGTGGCGCCCAATGCGGAGCCATCTGCCCTGTCCTCCTGGACTCCCAGCACCCTGTCCCTCTGCTCGTGCCATGCCACACTGCACCAAACACCACAGTATCGTGATTTCACTTTCAGACACAAACGGTCTCCTAAAATACTGCCTGCATCCTCAGACCTGTGCCTCAAACTGAAATGGATTGAGGTATGGGTTAAGAGATGGGTTGAGGAGATTCCCCCCCACTCCCTTCTATGTAAAACACTTTGAGTACCCAGAAAAGCGCTATATAATTAATGTAACGAATGAACGAAAATGTAATTAACTGGAACCACCAAAGCTCACATTATTGGGTACCGTAAAGCTATCATTCTTTCATGAAAGGTCAGTTATCATAATACAGTAACAGACTTTACTTTCATATCAGAAATAACTTAAAGCAGAAGAGCAATGTTTAGATGTTGGGATGCTTTTTAGAAATATTAAAGGGATATTTCAATAAAAAAATTAACATTCTGTCATAATTGAGTCACCCTCTAAATATTTCAAACCCGAATGACTTTCTTTCATCTGCAGAACACAAAGGACATTTTGAAATATTGTGTTTCAAACAACATTTGACTCCACTTCCTTTTATTGTATGAACACAAAACTTTGACACATTTCTCAAATTATATTTTTAATGTTCGATAGAAGAAAGTCGTGCAGGTTTGGAACGACATGAGGGTCAGCAAATTTTGATAAACATTCATTAGTGAACTTACTGGCTTACTCATACATGTCTCATTATTTCAAAATCCAAATATGACACACTACAGTTTAAAAGAAAAAGTCTAACTCATGAGTCTGTTTTTTTATATTTTATTGATGTCTTGTGAAAACTAACTTCCGTGCCAAGCCACACAAGGACCAACATGGCACAGTCAGTCCACCCCCATCACAAGACCCAGGGTTCACAGTATAGGCCATTGTCCATTCATAGTCAGCACTCCATCATGTTACCAGCCTCTTCAAACCACCACACTGTCTCATCAGATGGTCTGACACTAGGGCTGTGCATTAATTCTAATCGATTTTGGCTTCCAACAATTATGAAAACAAGATAATCGGCGTAAACGATTATTGTGCCACTCCCGCATTCCTTCCCTTCACAGCAGTGCGCTTTCATTGCTCCCTAAAAGCCCAAACTTGACACACAAATCAGCCAACTCAAACTGTTGTAAAATGCAGTCTAATGTTTGGGACGTGTTTGGTATTAAGCAGTGTTATTAAAAGCATAAAAGCACAAAAGAGATACTGTTCCCAAGGCACCCTCCAGTGCGCACACTCCGAGACGGGACTGACAAGCATAAGGAAAGAATAATGTAGGCTTCAGATACATGCCTAAACGGTCAAAAACACACAATTATGTCGTTTTGGTAAATATCCTCGTAAACACAGTCGCTTGCATCTTAAGTGAAGGTAAAAACTGAGAAAGAGCGTATGTATAACAGTTTATTTGATCCGTGCATTAGCTCTTAAAGTGACAGCAGCCTAAAAAATCTGCAGCAGTCATTATTGACACCCGAGACCAATATTACATCTAGTAAAAAGGTGGATAATAGGTGCCCTTTAACACCAGAAATGTAAGCTGATATTTCCTACTGACACACTACAGCAAAGATGTAAATAACTGTGAAAATGCTAACATGCCTACTACTTTTGCACAGTACTATTTATATATTGGAAATTACTACAAGTACTGGTTTGTTAAGCATTATATAATATGTCATTAATGATTTTCTATTACATTTATCACATGTACATTTTATCTACATTTATCATATACACACTTCAACATACCTCAAGGCTTCTACTACAATAACTTCTATGTGGTTCATGTTGTTGGCTGATGAGCACACAGTCTGTATGGGAGACAGTGGGACACTAAGCTGAGTTACATAATAGCCCTGAAGTGGCGCATTCCTTCGTACTTGTTTTCATGCCACCTTGCATAAAGCTCGTACCTCCTGCCACTCTTCACACCCATTTCAAGCAGGTCAGGTGGCCCGTTTCAGGTCGCATCACTATTTCTGCCCATTCTAAATGTGGCCTGACTACTTGGCACATTTCAGCGAGATATAACAGCAATCCTCCAACACACCTGGGATTCAGCTGATAATAATAGAATATTGGACATTTTTCAGAAATGAAAGCAGACTTACTATTTATAGCGACAGGTTCTAAAAACAGGACAGAAATAAATAATTAGCTAAACAAGTGGAGGAAGACAGGCTCACGGAGACCCACCTGGTCCTAGGGACTGTGCCAGCGAAAGAACAGAAATTCATCCTTATCTGTATAAAACCTCCTTGGCATTCATTCATTCATTTTGTTTTCATCTCAGTAAGTTATTCCTCTCACTGTATATTTGTGGAAGGTTCTGAATATTTTTTTTTTTCTAAGTATGTACAGTAACATAAAGTGACCATCTATCCACCTGGCAAAACCACTTGAAATTGATAGTTTTTTTCACTTATTCATTTGTTATATAATCTGGTTTATAAAAAGAAGTAGAAAAAGATTGCATAAGTAGTTTGTGAAAGACATGTAACTGCTCTGTTAATAAATGCTTGATGAGAGCAACAACATGGGATGTAACATTTGAACAGAATATGGTTGCTAAGCAACTGTGTGTGAGAAGGAGAATTCTGTCCAATGATACACGAGTCACAGGCATGAAACTGCTTCAGACGCAGTAAATCACATCAGCAAAGTTTGAGCGTGTTGTCGTTCCTCTGACAACGATAATTCATTCTAATGCTACATGAGAAATCAACATTAAATTACTCACAAACGACTTTTAGCCTCAGGCCTTGGTAAAAAATACACACTCATAATAGGGAGTAAGAGATTTTGACTGATGAATGAGTGTGGTCAGAAAGACAGGAGGAGGTTTCTGTAAAACATCTGATATAACAGCACTTTCAGGAGTTCTGATACTATAATGTTGAGTCTCTTTGTGAAAAAACTGTAGTAAATTCTCACCACTCCGATGGAAAAGTAGTTGTTCACTATGCTGTTGGGTACAGGATCTCCCTTCTCCTCCTTATCATCAGGGACAATGTCGATGTTCCAGCGGTCAAGCATCAACTCGGTGCTGTGCTCAATATCCCTGAGGAACTTAACCAGACTGCCTCCTTCATAGCCTGTCAATCACAACACAGACACTGTGTGAACCTACATAGCACAAAGGGTTAATTACAAAGACTTGAATTAGCCACACTAAAGCTGGACGATTAATCATTAAAAGATCATGATCTCGATTATTGCTAAATGACAATGATTCTCCTATGTCTACTAAGCCTTTGGCGAAATCACACCAGATCATTGGAGTCGGTGTTTGAGCTGCCGCTGATCCAGCAGTTGTCATGTACAGGTATTAAACTGCTTTGCAAACAGTCTTTAACCACACAGTATCATTATTTCCATGTTACAAATATTCATATTATCACAGAAGAACTGGGATCAAAGTTTATAGTTCGGCTATGAACACTGATGTCTAGATCAAAATAGACTAAATCACCTTTTAAAAGTAATGCCAAATCATTTTATATCGTTACGCCACTGACAAGTGATTGTTAAAAAAATGTTTTTGTCACTGAATCACTCATTCAAGAGATTTGTTTAAAAACACAATTCATCCAGTTATGAAACAAGTGAAATCTGTGAGTGAGTCATTGAATCATTCTTTTAACGCAGATATTTAATAAAACATTTTTAAATTGACTCCAGCAATTATCATTTTGTCAGAACCTCTAGTAAATTAAGTAATTTTGTTTAGTTGTCATTCAGAATCGCGATCTCCGTTTGAAACAAAAAAATCGTGACACGAAGATATGTACAAAAGCTCCTTTTTTTATCTATGAACAAGAATGTGCAAGAGTTCATGCATAGAAAAGAATAATAAAACAAGCACAATTCAACTTTTGTTCTCATGACAATGAAAAACTTGCATTATCGCAATTCCAAGGTTAGCATAGCTTAATTAAAAAACTCAACACAGCAAGATCAAATGATTAAACTTGCCAAAGTAGCACAATGTTGTGAAAGTATAAAGCTGTCTCTATCTCTCTATCTCTGACAGACCAGAATTCATTATCCAAACAGTTAATGGGCCCCTTTGACTTCAACAGTATTTTTTTTTCCATACTATGGAAGTCAATGAAGCCCATCAAATGTTGGATTACCCATAGCATCTTCTTTTGTGTTTAGCAGAAGAAAGAAATTTATAGGTTTAGAAAAACTTGTAAAAGATGACTGAATTTTCTTTTTGTGTAAACCCTCCCTTTAAATTGAGTCGTATAGACGACTTTTATTATCCGTTTATAATAAAAGGTCCAATCATTGTAATTGCATGCAAAAAGAGCAACTAGTACATTCTAATTTTGTTGAGAAATTAGAACAACATGAGGATGAGTAAATAAATATTTATTTAAAAAAGATCTATTATATCAACAAAGGGTTGAACACTATGACCTCAGAAGGGTTGCCAAGCACTGAAAAAAAATGTTCTAACTGACATGAAGGGATCCTTTCGAGAGGATACCTGAGGTGAATGAACTGCAATTACTTCACAATTGTAATGGGAAAGATACAGAGGCTTCTTGTTACATCATGATCATAGAGGTGCCATCTCTTAATGAGGGCATCATGCTGTGAGACATGTGGGGATATTGACTCCCGACTGGCAACCTAAGGAGTAAAATATAACGTGTAAGGACATCCAGGTGCTCACTCTGCCTTTCTGGACCAGACATGCAGACAAACATGCGCTCACATGGCACCTCTTCACTGACTACAGGTGATACATCTTTCAAAGTCAATCAACTCACATGGAGAGACAAAAACAGTATACCAGTCAAATTAATTTAAGAATACATTCATGCAAAACCTTATCCGCTGAAACAAACCAGACACATGCACACACAGGAAACACTGATACGAGGCCAATTAATTCAGCAGGCTCTACACGGCCATCCACACCTGTCTTACAAGCAGACGCAGGCTCACTGATGCATATCATTACATCATAACCTACTGAATATAAACCCAAATATCGAAACAAGTACACACATATGCAATCACACGTGAATGTGTGATTGGAAAGTCTATATACTGTATACTCAAAGCACAGTTTATTTATCTATTGTTACAAATGACAGTATTTTTAAAAAATTCTTAAAAGTGTAATTGTTAACTAAAATTAAAATGATCGGTAACTGAAACTGAAATAAAATGAAACATAAATATTAATAGAGAAACGTAAACTTAAAAACCTTAAACGAAAATTACAATATATCCTTGGAAAAAAAGCAGCATAAAACAAGTCAAATTTTCAGAAACCATAAGACAGCTTAATGGGATGAACAGAGCAATATGAGTCTGTATTCACTGATAATGTTGACAACCGTCTTCTCGTGAGATCATGAAGTAATGATGTTCGATTAGTAAACAAATGGTTCTTTTAGGTTGGATCTTTTTAATAAATCAATTTATAAGGTTGACAAAACTGGCCTGAATGAGTTGTGATCTGATCAGTCAATCTCACTAACACACTGGTCTATTAGAAGTACAGATTCAACATACTTTTTTTTGTGGTGTCAGCACATTATTTCAAAGTTCTTATTTTGTGCTGATAAATGATGACATAATTTTGATCTTTGGTTGAACTATCCCTTTAAGTGTACACTACACTGGCTTAACTAACTGGGCAAGTGCTTGTCGCGGTCATCTGTGTGATCAAAATCACAGAATGAAAATCCTGAAAGCAAGTGTGGTCTCAACAAATCCTGCTTTCTCTTTCATGTGACTGGAGCATTCAATGAACTAGGATGAAGTTTGATTATTACAGTCTGACCTTCTGTTCAGGTTTGAATGTGGAAATGTTTAAAAGTTTTAAAATCCTTTTGAAGGGTTTATACAGGATTGCATTTAGATTCAAAGAATTCAAAGCCTAATCTCAACTCGAGTGGTTCTGTGAAGGAAAGCCCTTTTTTATTTCAAAGTTTTATTTCAAAGGCACTAAGTAATTCCCTCCAACTGCTGGTGGACAGTCTCTTGTTTTGTCCTCACCTCCACCCCAGCGCAGGCAGCGAGCGAGGTCATTCCCAGTCCCTAGCGGCAGGATCGCAACAGGAGGATGTCGAGCAAAATTGGCCTTATCTGTTAAGAAACAAAGAGAACCATTAAAGCTGCTGCTGCATTTTTAACTAGTACATCAATTATATTTAATGGATTTGCAAGTATGTGTACACTACCACTCAAAATGTATGTTTTTGTGTCTTTTGCTCATCAAGGCTGCATTTATTTGATCAAAATTCAGTAAAAAAAAAATCAGGATTCTCAGATGGATAGAAATCTGCATTTATTTAAAATAGATTTTTTTTTTTAACAGTATAAGTAAGGAATAATTGATGACAGGCCGTTGAATTACCAGAAAAATGATGCGGTCACGACGCGAAGTGGAATGGCCGTTACCAAAATACTCATTTATTTTTAATTAAGTCAGCTTTGGCATTCCATAATATGGAACTATATGTTGTTATTAAACAGGCTTTAAAAATGACACTCTTTTTTAGACAATATCTAACAAGTAGAGGTGTGAATCTTCACTTGCCTCACAATTCAATTACGATTCAGAGGGTAACAATTTGATTATAAAACAATTCCAGAGGCATCACAATTAATCTTTTCCTTCAATTCTTTCTTTAAAGGTGCCTTGTGTCAAAAAAATCAATTCACATTCCAGACCAGATGGGGTTAGTAGCTATACCGCCAGAAAGTGAGTTGGTCTACTCTAGAGAAACAAACGAGAAACGGCATAGTCTTCACAACGAACAACCCTATTTCTTACAGTCTATGCCCTAGAGCCATAGTCGAAGCCGAGCCAACTCCTGAGGAATGTTGGTTGATGTCAAGTGATTTTTAAATTCGACATCTTCAAGCTACTCCCCTTCACCTTTACCAGTGAATATGTTCATACTGTAAAACTTCAAATAATAGCCGAGTCCCAAATAGAGGCCGGGTCTGTTTTTTAGTTTCAGGTTGTTAATCTTCTAAAACCGTCATATCGTCCGCTTTTTGGTGGCCGCCTGAGCAAAATTTTGTCCCGCCAAAGCCTATTTTGATCGGTGAGTGATGTAGAACAGAATGACTGCTGTGCTTGACAGGGCGCATAACGATCAGAGAGAGAGATCATCGCCTTTATTTCTTCTCATTCTTTTGATGCATGTTGGAATTTTTTTTTTTTTGTATTTTACCTCAATTCTTACACATGGCACCTTTAATAATAATTACTATATTATATGCCACTAAAGAGAACTAAATTCGGTATTGCAGGCGGCTTTCTGTGCACTCGTTTCAGGTGTGTGTCAGTCAGCGGGAGTACCGCATTAAATTATTTTCAGAACTGTTTTACATCAATCACGCCCTGCACTTTATTTTCACACTCATGCATGTCCTGTTCATAAAAAATGAAACATCAGATGCTAGTGCTTAATTTATATATGAGTAGCCTACTTTACAATAAAACAGCACATTTATATGTATAGGCTTATTTAAAAAAAATACATATATATATATATATATATATATATATATTGTTTTTATGCATCGATGCAGAATTGGTTCACATCAGCATTGCAATGCATCGTAAAAACAATTATATTCCAGAGCTCTAGTAACAAGGCCTAGATAAAGACCATGCTCAAACATTGAAGTTAAGTATATAGCACTGGAAAATGTCTTCTTCATTTACACCATGTGCATCATTCCCATGTAATATCCTAACAATAATTCAGACATTAGATTTGAACAGGGTGTGCTATCCACAGAAGAGAGTGAATGATAAACTGTATCTTTCTGTCCTCACGCTGATGGTCCCTGTGTGGCTCATTGGTTTGTGCAAAGGGACCGCGGGGACGTTGTTTTTGGTGCTGGTCCGTATGGCGTGATGTACTGCCTAACTGCAGGGGTTCTCTGAGTAATCGTCAGCAGCAGACATTTTATAATACCAGTCAAAGTCGTGTGGGTGAACAACAAGCAAGGACTAATGGCAATGCAGCTCTCATTCAAAAGCTGCTCCTAAATCATTGCTTCAGTTATAAGGACAATCTCCCATGTGTGTCCCTGTCAGCCTCAATTTACCAGCCTAAAGATTCTCTAAAGCGATGAAGAGCACATCGCTTCTGATCTGAGTTCAGGTTTCAGAACCATCAGCCAATTGCAATTTCAAGCCAAAGGTTTGGAGACCAAACTGATTCTAAATCAGCACTTAGCGGCGATATCTACCACTGCCCACACAAGGTTCCTCTCCAGCTCTCATCCATTAACATCAATATGGCTGTTTGGAGATATAATGGCCTGTCTTTCCCCCTCCTCTGTTATCCTGTATTCACTCATATAAAAGAGGTCACAGATGAGTCAATGCTCTTTCCTAGAAACAATGATTTGGCATTATGATCTTTCTGATGGTTAAACGTCATGATTATACAGTATGTGCCTTAAATAAGAGCCAGTCTTGTGTCAAGTACGGCATGGAAGGACGTCCCAATGTTCAAATGTTTGTAGCTGAATTGGTTGACATGCTTTATTGATTTCCTAGGGGAAGTGCAGATGCAATATAGCAGCAAATTTAAAGTGCAATCAAGTCACCTTTATTTATAAAGCACTTTATACAATACAGATTGCTTCAAAACAGTAATAAACAAGGAAATAAAAGAATCAATGATGCAAACTTTATCAAATATATGTCAAATACTGCTGCTCCAAAGCAGCTCCAAAAAGACAATGGTGATATTTGGGTCAGTTTAAATACAGTGTAAAGTTCATCAATTAAAGTGTGACAACCTACTTTGTATTGACTGAGAAATTCACTTTTATTTGTCAGCAAAATTTTTTCGAGCGTGTTCATGGTAATGCAGTTTGAAATGTTGACTGCAAACATGGACTTTTTTTCAGGTTTTCTTTTGCGGCGCTCTCTCTGTGTTTACGATTCTTTGCGCCATTTAGCCACTGCGATTAATACCTCACTGGAAATTTAACTTCACTTTGAATTCTTGCACATGGGAACAATACAAGCTGACACCATTACGACCAAAAGTTTGCTAAGAAGTATTTCCCAATAAAACAAGGCGGTATTTGGTCAAGTGTATACTTAACAGACTGGTGGGACTGGCCTTGGTCGGCAACATGCTTAGTGCATTATGGGTGTTGAACCTATTTGGCAAAAGGAACGATACAGTAACAGGCTTTTTTTCTCTGGTTTCTCTAGTACCGATTAAAAAAAAAATCACCTTTCTACTGTATAGGCAGCCACGGTTTATTTAAAGCCGGTGGTGAAGTACCCCTCAAATTGTGTTTTTTATATCCAAACTGCAAGATAATACAAATTCTGTACCTCAAATGAAAGCTTTTCTTTGGTCATATCATCAAACACTTATCTTTATTTTCACTACAGAGCAGCTGAAATGCTGTCGGTGTTAAGTCCCAAAGCGAGCCTACTGTTGCAATTTGTACTGCATATACATGCAGAGTGTTACTGCTACATTAGTCAGATGATCTATTAAGTCCATGTAACCGTGTTAATTATTACAGCTCTGGAAAGCATTGATGATGATGCGTACTCACCAATGCAGTCCAAAATCCACCCCACTGATCCATCGCCTCCACAGGCCAGCACACGGAAATCAGGCACGTCTCGAAAAAAGTTGAGACTGGGGGACATAAACACAATGAGAATGATCAGCATTCCCCAGTGGCTATTCACAGTTTACTGTTCAATGCAAAATGTTTGATCTGAAGGATGTTATTGAAGATTTATGTTTTTCCCATTCAGTGTCATGGGAGCAAATTTCTGGAACTCAAACCCATGGAGGCTGCAAAACATCTCTTCCTTTTAATCTCAACTAAACTACCTTTTTTGACTGTAAAGCCAGTCTTTCATTTGATCCTAAATTTGCTCACTCTTTATTTGTTTGTGAAGTGGCCTTAAGCTGTGAGAAATCACTGAATGAATAAAGCTTCACAATTTCTCACGATTGACAAATAAATTAAATTCAATTTATGTAAAATATCAGAAACAGAAGACAAACAGCAAAATGAAATATATAAAACATTACATGTTTTGGTCCCACATTAGATTAGGGTCCAATTCTCAATAATTAACTACGTATTAACCGTGAGCACTGCTTATTAACAGTATAAGTATAAGTAGTAACTGGTTAGTATTAAGGTATGTATAATATGGTCATGCAGAATAAGGCATTAATATGTGCTTTATAGAGTGCCGAAGTTACGACATCACTCTGTAGGCCAAAACGTGGAAGTGAGTAAGCATTTTAGCACTCCCGGTTCCCTCGCTCTAAAGTCTATTGGATTTTTGAATGGGTTTTTGATATATCGCCTGAAATAAGGTCTGAGGTGAAAAAATCCTCTAAATATTTTCACATTTTGATCAATGACATAGAACACACAGTTATAACCTGCTTGTGGTTTTTTAAACTTTATTGTGTCTGCTTGTGTTTTTTAAAAACGTTATATGGGCTTCAAAATTGTGGATTAACTTGTAAAGATTATCTTGATAGACAAAACGTGTAAGGGTCAGGGTCACAACTCTTTGTTGAACACAAATCTTATTTTTTGCGATTTTCCAAAAGTCTATGGGGAAAATGCATTTCTTTTCGACCGAGGGAACCCATCCGCCGCTAACTTCCGAGTTGTCCTACAAAGTGACGTCATCACCTCGGCACTCTATACACTAAGTGCTAAAAAAAGCCAATATTATGCTGATAAATAACTAATAGTAGTGAGAATAGGACCCTAAACTAAAGTGTTAACCTTTTTTTAAAAAAAATAAACTAACAATGTATGTACTATTTTTAAATACAATTTATTTCTGTAGTGGAAAACCTGAATTTGTCTTCAGAGTCACACGATCCTTCAGAAATCATTATGGCCCCTTTTTCACTATGACTATGTTTGCATGTTTGACTATTGTTACCAATATTGCAAATATAGTAAAATTTTTCATATTTTCATGCCATTTGACATTTTCTTCTTTAATGATGATTTTTATCAAGCTTGTATATTTAAGTTCAGTGATTTCACTTAAATGGCAATGATAATTACCTATTAATTGTTATTTAAGTGAAATTACTGAACTTAAATATACAAGTTTGATAAAAATCATCATTAAAGAAGAAAATTTCAAATGGCATTTAGAGGCTTTTGCATCTGAACTCTTCAATTAGAATTTATAATGCCATACTTTGTGTTATATTACCTTGGCAGTAAATGGAAAAAGAAAGTAATTAACACTGCTGCGAGGGTGTTTCTAATTCAACTGCAAATTTGACATAATTCTCTCTTCTGACTGCTGTAGCCTAATCAATCCCAATATTTTTTTCCCTCTTTTGGAAAGTCGTCGGAATGCTTTCACTTATTTTATCTGTAAACACTTGACCTCCATCTCTTCACTGAACATTCAGAGACAAGTGTAGGACAGAGGCTGAAGAAGACACCACTCTCTGCTGGTCAGAAGCATGTACTGCAGCACAAGGGTGAGTCCAGGACATATCCTGCAAACAGGTACATGTGGGATCTGCTATAGACCTAAGCGTAATACACCAGCAGAGCAGTCACACAACTATCTGAAATATTAATACTGTGTAACCTCTTTTGATGGGCTCTGACAATGCAGCATGTTTTATGTATGCAGTACGAGAGCGAAACAGACGAGTAAATGTGCCACTACATTTACAATGACAATGCAGACAAAGCGGTTCTGTGCCATGATAGAAATGCTCAAGCTATGTCAACAACAACATCGTCCAAAACATGGATGTCCACTGAAGTTCATTGGGCAAATAACACAAGTGAAACATGGCTGTGGTTCTGGACAGGCTGCTGGAATCATGTTTCAGCCTGACTAAATGAGATCTGCTCCAGATAAATTTGTAATGTACCAGTGCCAGTCTGTTTAAAATGGCAACGTTGCTGTTGTAGAGATGGGGGTTGCGTAAACAATTCCTTATCCAATGACATGGCAAAAGACAAGACACTTTAGCAAGTTGTGCATCTATAAGAGTGGCCTCTTCAGCACAGACAGCTATCAAAAGAGCACACTTATCTTTTTCATCTCTCCATATTTTGATATCCATTCAGACCCCTGTGTGTCAATCATCAGTTTAGATATTTCACAATGAAATGAGCAAGAGAGCAAAAGAAAGATGAGCAAAAATGAGCAAAAGGAAGATCAGTGAAGAATATAGCCAATTCAAAGGTGTTTTTTTCTGAAATATATGAAACAAAATAATCAATCTAGAGTGTAATAGTGAAGCTTTACCGATGATACATTTTATATATTTCAATTTATTCATTTTGCAGACACTTACGTATGTCCAGAGCAACACAATTGACCACGGAGTTCCATCGTATGGAAACATTTGTCAAAATAACTTATTTTGTGTTCCACAGAAGACAAAAAGTCATAGAGGTTTGGAACGACATGAAGGTGAAGGTAAAAGGTAGAAATGTAAGAGCAGTATAGACAAATGTGTAGATTTATTTTAAAATAAAGGGCATTAATCTAAATGAAATACAAATAAGGGATATGTTTCTTACTATTCAAATATATTATAAATGTTTGGTTGCTAATTCTCTTTTTTGTATTAAAGAGGAGCTGTTATTATGAACAATGGCAGTCATCACATCAAAAAAGGCTGCCAACCCTTAAAATATATGCTTAGGAATTAGCTAAGTGCTTAAGAAAGAGAATTTGATATATGATCATATGGTTCTCCATGAGTGAAGTCATCAATGTCATACAATCTTCAATCCACTTCTCTCTTTTTCTCTCTGAATGGTGTCATGGTGTGTACCGCTCCAGTCGTGACTACAGAACATTTCGTGGGAGGGAGATCTAGGATGGAAGGTTAGCCTGCTTTCTAGTGGAATGACCATTGCTTTTGTTCTGTAAACACACTCTCTCTCTCTCTCTCTCTCTCTCTCTCTCTCTCTCTCTCTCTCTCTCTCTCTCTCTCTTTTTGGATCTGTTTTTAAATCATGGGATTGTTTTACACTGTTAAGAGAAGAGGATAAGCATTATGGTATTGCAGAAACTCTTTTTTTAGTCCTCTTTTTGAAGTGCCATTTAATATGTCATCATCTTTAATCAACAAATTTTTGAATGCTGGCATCACAAAAGTAATGGACTTGATTGATCTAATAAAAGGTCAGATGCGAACTGAACTGGAAATTGCTAATCAAGTTGGGCTAACTTCGGTTAGAATTGTGGAGGGATTTGTTAGGAAACTTAAGACCTCTTTTCCTCCAATGTTGACTTCTTTTATAAATAATGTTTTTCTGAATGGTTTTACTCCTCAGACATTTCCTGAATTTAAGGTGGTTCTTAAAGATTGGGAATCAGTTGATGATACAAACTTAACAAACTTATTAAAAGGTTATGGGGATTTGGCTTTTTTTGGTATTGAGAAAAAAATGTTATATCATATTATGTGTGAAGTCTGTACATCTTGGGCAATTGAAACAAAGACTGGACACTAAATGGAGGACTGTGCTTTCTATTCCTGATGAGGTATATCCATCTTGGAGATTATTGTACAAACCTCCTATCTCCAAGAGATGTGGAGACCTTCAGTGGAGGGTATTGCATTGTATTATTGCCTCAAATTATTTTGTTTCAAAGCTTAATGAGACTGTTTTACCGATATGTCCTTTTTGTAATGCAATTGACACTGTTTTTCATATGTTTTGTGAGTGTCTTAGACTTTGTTCATTGTTTGAACTGTTGGGTGAAATCATTGCAAAATTGGGTTTTTCGTTTACCAATAGTCTATTTATATTGGGTTGCCGATACAGGAAGTCTTGGCAACAACAGTGTACACTTGCCAATTTTTTAATAGGACAAGCTAAACTAGCAATTTTTAAGACGCATCAGTGCAAAAATGCTGGAGAGGATGTAAGCATGGTGTCTCTTTTTAAGTCTTTGGTGAAGTCAAGAGTGATCATTGAATATACCTATTATCGTAACACCAATAATATCTCTTATTTTGAATGGAGATGGGGTGTTGGAGCAGTTCTGGTGACTATAAATGAATCAGGGAATTTGGTTTTTAATTGGTGATTTTTGTTTTGTTTTTTATTTATTGGATAATTTTTGTTTTGTTTAGTTTATTCTTGTAAATTAAAGAGTGTCTAAAAGTCAAAAAAAGTCTCTCTCTCTCTCTCTCTCTCTCTCTCTCTCTCTCTCTCTCTCTCTCTCTCTCGCTCACTGGGTGCTGAACAGAATGTACAGTCCTTGTGTGCTTTGAGTGGGTTTAAAGTAAGTGTACATGTGTAAAGTCAGAGAAAACAAAGACTAAACCTCCTCAATATCTACATTTTTCTTCTAGACAGCAAATTTGCAGGTTTTGAAATTTCAACATGAATACAAACATCCTTTAAGCCTAAGCTGGTTTGCATGTCTTGACTTAACTCATGTCTTAGTTTATGCTGCTCTTGCAGTCCAGCCAAGCTGGTCACCCACCTAAAAGCTTGACTAAACCTAGCCAAAAACCTCTATAAAACCAGCTAACAGATCAGAAACCATCTTAGGCTAGAGTAAGATGCCAAAATGATTTCTTGTCAAGTTATTTCATGCACAAATGATCGAAACTATGCTATGTGCATTAAATATACTCCTCTATATCAGTGTTGTTATTGTTAACTAACAATAAAACTATTTTCGGTAAATAATTTAAATAAGGCTGAAATAAAATAAATATTAGATAAAAAAAAAACTTTTTAACAGAACAGAAACTAGAAATGCTGCCTTGGCAACTGTGTAAATTCAAGTACTAAAATCATTAAATCTGAAATAAAAATAAATGAAAACTATATAGAAATATACAAAAATAAAACTAACAAAATTTTAAAGGACAAGTTCGGTATTTTACAAATAAAGCCTTGTTTTAAGATCGTTTCTGATGAAATGGAAGGGTTAAGATTGTTTTTAGACAGATGCTGCTGTCCCGAGAATTTTTAGTTTCTGTGGTAGCACAGCGATTTTTGTGTGAGCATATCAATGAACACCCCAGAGCACTCGGTGAGTTTCACGTCTTTGTAAACTAAAGTTTTATGCCTTTTATGAAGGATTGTTCCTGTGCACGTATGCTACCATTGTAGAGGTGTGGGGGTGCTACCACAGAATCCGAAAATTCCCGGGACAGCAGCATCTGTCTAAAAAACAATCTTAACCATTCTATTTCATCAGAAACGATTTTAAAACAGGGCTTTAATTGTAAAATACCGAACTTGTCCTTTAAAAATAAAAGCTATTTCAAAATATCGTTTACTAAAATACTATATAAATACAAAAAATACTATGATCGCACATAAACAATACTAAAATAATACTGCTCTGTATTCTTACAATGGTCACATTAGCATTTATTTTCCTAGGAAATTTGAGGTTAAACCAACATACTTAACCTCTGAGTGCTAAAATGTTTCTTCGTAAACAATCTCATCATTTAGCTAAGATCAGACATGGCGTGGAGAATGTGCCAAAATGTTAGAATTTAGATTCCACTGCTATGCTACAATTGAAAACTGTTTTGGACGACCCTGAGCTGGTCCGAATCAGGTGGGGTGTTTGGGCGAAGAGGATTTAGTACAATATATATTTTAGGAAGCCTCTGTGTGACTGACAGGCTTAGAAGTGCATTTACCACTTAAATGAATATATTTACACAGCAGGGGGCTGCTTGAGTCATAGTAAATGTCTTGTAGGTCTCTCAAAGTCAGCTTCGCTTTGTGAGTGGTTCCTCTCTCAGACTAGTTGATTGCAGGTTGGCTCGCTTTATTGCAGGTTAGTAGAAGCAGACGGATGGGAGCGAGAGGGAGCCATGCCAGAACAAAACAACAGGGAGAATGTCAAACAGTTTTTGAGCAATTCTGTCATGACTCAAAAAATGTTTTCATTCCCACAAATCTCCATTGAAATTTGATGGTGGCTTTTAGTTGTCTTACCCTGCCATGGGTCCTCCTTGTTCAAGACTGTACACCTGTCTGGGGTTAAGCAGATACTGGAATTTCCGCAGCACCCTGATAAAGACAAACGAGCACAGAAAAGCATTAAAAGACACATAGAGGAATGACATTTTTAAACATATAATCACTCTAAACCTTCCATTATGATAAAAGGCTTAAATGGGCAATTCACCCTAAAAAAAATTGTCATAATTTAACGACCATTCCAATGTCTTTCCAAACTCAAATGACTTTCTTTCTTTTATCAAACACTAAAGTTGAATTTTTGAAGGTGACAAGCTCTAAAAGCACAAAAAATACTACAAAATATCATACAAGTTATTATGTATAGAAAATCTTGACATCCAGACTAGCGCTCTTTGGCACATTCATGAGAGTTCATGAGAGAATGACAATGTTCGACTCTTCTTCTTTTCAAAGAATCATTGATGTGAGATTCACACAAAAGGTCTGAATAATCTAAATAATTATTTTTTGGAATAAATGCACTCCAAAACACTAACCTGACATTTATACTTTGTTTTAATAAATAGAACATTAATTATTACATGGATCCTAATAACAATCTGATTGTAATTGGACATAAATGAGCTTTATGTCAAATTCTCCTTCCACTCATCGTATAGACTCTCTGGAAAAAAAAAAAATCTACACAATCCTGGCAATCACTGGAGTCAAGAAAGACAGAAGCACATAAACACGGATTGCACACTGTTGCAGCAGTGCTCCTCAATAACCTTGAAGTAATAAAATGATTATTGAGGACTCTGCAATGTCCTTCACTTCTAACTGTGTTAGCTACTCTTTCCTTTTAGTATGCAAAGACACTGAGGTAGAGAGAGAGAGAGAGAGAGAGAGAGAGAGAGAGAAATACGAAGAGCTGTTATTTTGAGGTGCGTCACAAGCTAAGCTTTTATGTGGAGTGATAATTTGAGCACTTATCAACACTGAAGACTTCATTTGTTCCCATATGCAAAGAACAAAAGAGTGCAGACAAATGTCAAACCCAACCAATGAGCGTTCAATACGCAGCTAGGGGTGAAAATGGTGGAAAAATACACTCAGTACAGTATGATTCAATGGTGACCACTCTGTTTCTTTTGTTTGCATCAAAGAACCACCAAAATGGTCTTTCTTTTTTGGGTCCAGGGCAGTTACCACGTCTTTGTTTGAGCACATGTTTAATAATGGAGGATAATCGGCCAATTAATGGTATTTAAAACTGTTGCTATGGTGATGCCAGCACAAAATCCAAAACTGGTCTCCGGAGGACGTTGAGTGGGTGGTGAGAGCTGAAACAACACCCACATTCTTCCTCCTTAAACAGCATTACTGTCTCCTGCAAGCTTTGATGGTATTTAGGACACTGCCAGCAAGCAAGAAAAAGGGACTTTTGTTGAACATGCCTATGCAGATTTGACTGACTTTAAATAGTTAGGCAAGCCATTCTCCAACCTTGTACTGCTGTACAGAATATGAAATATGATGATGCAACAGTTTGAGTTTCTAAGATGTTTACCTCTCACCCTGCCGACCACCACTCTTAGGATTAACCAGCACAAGAAGGGGGTGTGTTCCAGGCAGAGGTGTGATCTTAAAGCCAGAAAGGAGGAAAAAAGGTCACAAACACACAGACGCGCACACAACATGTACAGCACAGATTTTAAGTCACAGAGTGTGTCTGATGCCGGCTCACCTGCAGTGCCTGGCCGTCCCCGGTGAACTTGAAACACTGGCCAGTGTCCTCAGGGCTGGTACTGGGGGATGATTCTCCTTCACCTCTTTTGACAGCACATTGACGGTCCTACAGATACAGAGGCATTACAGTCAACGTCAACAAAGAGAGATGGAAAGAAAGACAAATGTAATTTAAGAATCCGTCTCCCTTTATTTTATTTCTCTTTAATTTTAGAAAGAACTGATGTTCTAACATTTCTACAGGTCGTTCTACAAGGTTGTTAGATCAGACTTGTTCACAAGTCTCTAACGTCCATGACTAGTCTCAAGATCTTTCTATGTGCAGCAGGGCTTTTTCTATATGTTTTACATATAAAATATATTACACATTACCCCTCAAACATTTTTTTAAAGAAATTAATACTTTATTCATCACGGATGCATTCAATTAATCAAAAGTGGCAGTAAAGACATATAATGTTGTGAAAGGTTTCTATTTCAATTAAATGCTGTTTTTTTATAACTTTTATTTTAAATAAGAATCCTGATTTAAACACCTGAATACGTAAGGATATTGAAAATTCAGCTTTGCCATCACAGTAAAAAAAAAAAAAAAAAATGATATTTAAGATATTTTAAATTGTAATGATATTTCATAATATTACTGTTTTTATTGTATTTTTGATCAAATAATATACTTCTTTCAAAAACATTAAAACAATCTTACTGACCTCATGTTTGAATGATAGTGTACATAAAAAAAAAGATTTCCTTGATTATTGTGTCATACTTGCTAATGAGAAATTATATGATATAACTAACGCAACTAATATATAAGGGTTTATTGGAATCATTTTATCTTAAATACCATTAACTTTAAAAATAAATAGTTTTTCTTACTGTAAATTCTCAGTCAGTAAAATCAAAACATTTGCAAACTACAGCAGCATGCAGGAACTGTATTTATATTCTCTATACTATAGACAACGCGTTGTTTCCAGTGGGAAAGAGGCCCATGAAGATTTTGACGAGGACTCCGACCTACCCATAAAAACATTTGTCCCGTGCTTCTTGCATTTTAGCATATCATAAATGTGCAGTGGAAAAAAAAACAAAAAAACAACTCACCAGAACAACAGGGCAAATGTACGAGGGCAGGAGTGTGTGATCTTTTAACGGTCCACCATCACACTCAGGCTTCACATTGGACGCACACTTGTTATGGAGCTGGAAAACAATACAAAATGCAAATATAGATGAGGAGTGGTGGAGAAGGACACATCAACAGACTGGAATGGTCTAGATTTTTTTTGTTCCCACTAATTTAATCAAGTAAGAAGACATTAAATGTTAGGAGCAAAGGAGACAGCATGATCTGTACTTGATATTAAATTAATTACAGTTTTAGAGTTGAAACTGACAGGAAAGTGCATGGTGCAGGACTATATAATGTGATAATAAAAATCATTATAGAGTGAAAAAGCCTTTAGATGAGTGTTAAGTGCTGACATTACATCCTCATTACAAAGGCTATTTTAAAACAAATCAGCCACATCCACCAAATGCTGTGAAAACTTAGTGAAGAACACCACCAAGTGGTGTGAATAAGTATTTCATAAAAATGGCTTTTATAAAATAGACAGAACCACAAATTAATCTTTTTTTCTGTGTTTGCTCAAGGTCTCTTGCAGCAGAAAAATAAATTGCAGAATCATACATGAAAAACTATAAATAATTATATTGATAGATTCTAATTATGGGACAGTCTTTAAAAATAAATAAATGAAGTATGCTTGCAAGAAATGTCACTAAAACATCAGAGTTTCTCTTGTTGGACACAGTATGTGCATTTATACTCACAGTGATTTGACACCAAACACAGTGAAGGCCTGTTAGACCTTGATAGCACTTGATACTGCGGTGACATTTGTCACATTTTGTTGGGGAATTGCCCTCAATCCAAACATGCTGCATAGCCTAGAGATACATTGAAAAGAGACATAAAAGAGAAAGTCATTATTTGTGAAATATTGAAACAGCCCATCTAAAGTGCACTAAAAGTATTATCTTGAACTGTTCAATGCAATTTTATTGTCTTATATGCTAAAATTAAACTCCACATCACTTAACACGTCGCATAACACATTCTGAAAATCATAATATAATGACAACATTTTGAGCGTACTGTATGTAATAACTGAATGGGAAGCTTAAATTTTAAAGAGGTGTCAGAGACTATTAAAACAGCGTTGCATGATCTGTCTTTTTCCCTTCTAATTCTGAGTACTAAAAAAAGTCGTTACACACAGGATGTTCTCATAACCTTCTTGACATGTCTACAGAACATTACTTTGAGATTTAACCAAGAGTTAAGGGTCTGGGAAGTTGCCTTGGGTGAAACTGAACTGGACTGCGGTCAGTGGATAAAATAATCATAACACAAATGTTCAATAATAGAACACTGTGTTTTTGTTAAACCATGAGCTCTGTACTTAAAGGTGCAATGTGTACAAATTTTGAGTATCTATTAAAAGAAATGCAATATGCCATCCATAACTATGTTTTCAGTGGTGTATAACGAACTAACTTAATAAACTGTAATATTTTTATTACCTTAGAATGAGACATTTATATCTACATATACATAACCGCGGGCACCCCATTGGAAGCTAGCCATAGACACCGTGATTAGTGACTTTTCCCTTGTCAGTGGTGTGAAATATGTAGTTGGATTGTTTCATGTAACTTAGTTCTTCTCCCTCACTGTGTTATGGTTTTGCTATGTGGGGATAAATGTGCTGGTTACGTTCGCGAGACAGCTGATTAGTACTTTTTTTCCCAGCTGATTAGGAAAAAAAAAAGTTTACTTTTTATTTTTAAATGTACTCATGAATTTATTGTTTCTGGCCCTATTCTTCAAAAGAGGAAAAACAGATGTGCAAATGTGTTCATTTGTGAGCGTATGCTGCTGTTTATGCACTCACATTGGTGTGTCTGCGGGACTTGGCATAGGTGCTAATGCAAGGAGCAATGTCTTTGGACACACAGCGCTCATGGACTGTGTACTTGCATACTGCCAAACAAAAGACAGGACTGTCAGGGATGGAGAGTGAGAGACTGCGGGGAAACATTTCAAACGAAAAACTGCACACTTTCAGGTTAGACACATCAAATTTCAATGAATACAGAAAGACAAAACAAAAAGATATAAAGACAGATAGACAGACAGACAGACAGATATATAGATAGATAGATAGATAGATAGATAGATAGATAGATAGAAAGATAGATAGATAGATAGATAGATAGATAGATAGATAGATAGATAGATAGATAGATAGATAGATAGATAGATAGATAGATAGATAGATAGATAGATAGATAGATAGATAGATAGATAGATAGATAGATAGGCAGACAGATAGGCAGACAGATAGACAGACAGACAGACAGAAAGACAGACAGATAGATGGGCAGATACATAGACATACAGACAGACAGACATATAGGCAGACAGATAGATAGATAGACAGACAGACAGATAGACGGGCAGATAGACGGGCAGATATATAGACATACAGACAGACAGACAGACAGACAGACAGACAGACAGACAGACAGACAGACAGACAGACAGACAGACAGACAGACAGATAGATAGATAGATAGATAGATAGATAGATAGATAGATAGATAGATAGATAGATAGATAGATAGATAGGCAGATACATAGACATACAGACAGATAGACATAAGACAGACAGACAGACAGACAGACAGACAGACAGACAGACAGACAGACAGATAGATAGATAGATAGATAGATAGATAGATAGATAGATAGATAGATAGATAGATAGATAGATAGATAGATAGATAGATAGATAGATAGATAGATAGATAGATAGATAGATAGATAGATAGATAGATAGATAGATAGGCAGATACATAGACATACAGACAGACAGACATATAGGCAGACAGATAGATAGATAGACAGACAGACAGATAGACGGGCAGATAGACGGGCAGATATATAGACATACATACAGACAGACAGACAGACAGACAGACAGACAGACAGACAGACAGACAGACAGACAGATAGATAGATAGATAGATAGATAGATAGATAGATAGATAGATAGATAGATAGATAGATAGATAGATAGATAGGCAGATACATAGACATACAGACAGATAGACATAAGACAGACAGACAGACAGACAGACAGACAGACAGACAGATAGATAGATAGATAGATAGAAGATAGATAGATAGATAGATAGATAGATATATAGATAGATAGATAGGCAGATACATAGACATACAGACAGATAGACATAAGACAGACAGACAGATAGGCAGACAGACAGACAGATAGGCAGACAGACAGACAGACAGACAGATAGATAGGCAGACAGACAGACAGACAGACATAAAAACATCCAGACAGATATTCAGACGGACAGACAGACAGACAGACAGACAGACATATAGGCAGACAGAATGATGGACCAACATACTCACTTGCGCAGCAAAGGCCCTGTTTTCGTACTCCTAACAACATTGTGTGGCAGTAATTACAGTATGCTGGCTTGTTGAAATGCTTTAGTCTCCATACGTGCTGCCCATCTTCCTGTACATTCTGAACATATGCGAAAGAAAAACAGGAATTGAGAAACTACATTTTTATGTGTTGTTTACTTTTTATAACTCACAATTACTTTTTTTCCTTACCGTCTCCATTCCTAGCAGTACCAGAAGTGGTATGGTGGTCATTCCTCCTCTGATCCACTCCTCTAGTGTGACCGTTCCATCCCGGTCATAGTCAATCTCCTCCATCATCTCCTTAAGAATCTAAAATTTTAGACATTAAAAAGGGACAATGAGATATGGATTTAACTATGCATGTTGGGAGGGCCATGGTGCTAAAGTTTAAATTGATTCATACCGGCCGTAGTTCTGTAGAGTCCCATTCCAGGTACTCGGCTACATGGACCATCTGATTTATTATGCGGTCAAGCTCCTAAATTGACAGATAATTGCTTTACACATCATAGACAATAAAGCATAAAGTTTCAAATTCACTTTTTACACATCCTGTTATTTACAGCTTCCTCTAAATATCAGTTCAAAGTTTCAAACAAAAAGATCAATAATATATGAGTCACCAAGGTCTGATAGTGCAAAGATGAATGAAATAGAATCAATGAGAGGATAATAATAATATAACATACACAATCCAAAACAAATGACTATCAACCCAACACAATGACATCACACACGGAAACTATTAACTTTATTAATCCCACAATTTTATGTGTACTGAATTATTAACTCTTTGTCAACAACATCTAACCAACCAAGTAAAAAATCTGGACACTTCACCATTACACATTTTAACAGAGATTTAGGACTTACCGAACTGTCCAGTAGGCCATTGCCATCTGTGTCGTACAGCCTGAACATGACTTTAGGGTGAGAGATGAGAAAGATAAGAGACTGAATCTTTTCGTAGTGTGAAAAACATTTGTCAAGTACAGACCCCATGCTAGCACCTGGAGCCCAGATTATCTATGGACAGACTGAGGCAGCTAGTGAGGATTAGCTTTGGGTAGAAATAACTTCCTATGCTAAAGAAAGCTTGTCTAAACATGGCAAACAAGGACAGGAGTGGGGATAAGTCTTTACGGAATGAAAGCGAGAGTGAGGAATTCTAGAAGTCTCCTCCTTTCACTCTAACTATGTTTAGGCCAGAAGTCTACATTAAAACGCAGAACTGAAAAAGGTATCTACTGTACATGTAAAAGTAAATTATAGCTACAATAGAAGGATTTTATTTAAAGAAATTAATCATTTTATTTACCAAGGACACTTTAACTTGAAATCTGACAGTAAATGCATATATAATGTTACAAAATATTTCTATAAATCAAATAAATTCTATTTATTAAAGAATCCTGAATTCTTTTCCACAAAAAAATAAATAAAATAAAAATATTTTAATTATTTAAAAATGTCATAATATTATTGCATTTTTAATCAAATAAATGCAGTCTTGGTGAGCAAAAACAGATATATAAAAACATCTTGATGTAATTGTAAAAATAATTGTTTTACTTGACTGATGTATGGTAAGCATGGTCAATTATGCTGACACAAAGGCTACAGTCACTGAAATGAAATGAACTGTGCTTTAACATTTCAAAGATCCATATACCTTGCTGCATGTATTGTGACAAAATAAAATAAATTATTGACAGCTGCCAAGAGTGAGGTTACTTTTTCATGTTTGTGACTAATATTATGATTTCTGTGGTTTGGCATGATTGTTTTAAATGGAAGCAATTTGCAAAATTACTTAGAATATTCTTTAGGAAAATTAGGATTTACTTGTAAATGTAAATAAGGAGATTAACAGAATCAATGAGTTGAAATGATCTAAAATTCCCAAACACAGCTAAGATAAAAAAAAAAAAATGCTTATAGGAAAACCATGTTTGAATAATTCCACCCTAACTTACACTCAAGCTTGTCCTCTGGTGTCCCCCTCTCCAGCAGAGACAAGTAGCACACAATGTCTTTAAGGAAGACCACTTGGGGCGATGGAGAGCCATTTTGTGGTGAAGGACTCCTCTGAAGAGATGTACGATTCTCAGATTGATTACGCTCTGGAAGGATGCCAGTTACATGTCTATTAGTAATGACACCAGATATCACACCAAAATATGTGTGCGCGAGCATCTTGTTTTACAAGTAGTGCAAGTTTTGACGAATATCTGTCAACAAAACATGATTCTGATCAGGCTATATAGCTTCATAAGCAATTCCCTATGTGTAAAAAAGTGTGGCAAAGATCAAGGTTGTTCACTTGTACAAGACTCTGACCTGGGAAAGGCGCGGGAATTTGAGGTCTTGGAGAGAGCCAAAGCATTGCTGCTGCTGCTGCCCGCTGGGGGTCTGGGGTGCATGCTGGGTGACCGGTGGGGGCCTCTGGGTGTGTGGCCCCCTGTGCCTGATCGCTGTGAGGAGGAGCGGGACGAGCAGGGAGACGTGGTGGCCCCTGAGCCTGGAGTCATCCCTACAGAGTTCTCTGGTGAATGTCGGCTCATTGCACTCAAAATACTCTTTCCATTCATACCTACAAGAAAAAAAAAGTGGTACATGAAAAAAAAAAAGAGAGGAAAATTAAGTTTATAATCTGAAATGACAAAGGAATCAAGTTAATACAAAATAAAAGGATAATGAAATAGGGTCTCATTCAATTAATGTGAGTACATAGCTAACGCCAGACCACATATCATTGAGAATGAAACGTGGTCTGGAAAGGAAACCTTATGTTCATTTTCTCGCATTTGAGGCGTGGTTTACGAATGCCCAGGGCCGTGTTATTGTGTGCTACAAATGTCTATGAAATGCGCCTGTACGTAGCTCAGTGATACCAGATGATGTATGTAGAGCGACAGAAAATTAGACGAGGAAAAAGACTGGGTCAGAGATTAAGGAGATTTAACATAAAACTTCAAATAATAGCTGAGTCCCAAATAGACGCCTGTATCTTTTACACGCCTGGTGTGGCTGCAGGTTTGGGTAAATAAAAGCCGGTC